TTGAATTTTCTTGATGTCCCGGGAAATTCTGGAAGTTTTGCATTTTCTGGAAGTTCTGGATTTTCTGTATTTCCAAAACATGTCTGGAAGCTCAGGAATTCCGGCATTCCCGGAAATTTGCGAAATTTCTTGACTTTCTTGAATTCATTGATTTCCTGAGATTTTCTACAATTTCTGGAACTTCTGGAATATCTCGATTTCATTTGAATTTCTTGAATTTATGGACGTTCGAGGATTATATTGAATTTCTTGAATTTCTGGAATTCCTGTGAATTTCTGGAATTGCTGGAACGCACACTTCAAAAAAAAGAAATCCTAGAAACTCAAAAAAACAATGCAGACATGCCAGAAATTCGACAATCCCAAAATTTCCAGAAACCCCATTTGTTTGTGTGTGTATATATATATATATATATAATGGAATTTGTAGAATTTCTGGAATTTCTAGATTTTCCGGACATTTGCAGGATTTCTGGAAATTCTGGATTTTCTGGGTTTCCTAAGAGTTTCTGGAATTTCTGGAATATCTTGATTTTTTGAATTTTCTGGTTTTTCCAAAATTTCTGAAATTTCTGGGCTTCTTAAATCTTTCTGGATTCCCCAGGAATTTCTGGAATTGCTGGAATGAGGATTTTCTAAATTTTGTGGGAATTTCTGGATTTTCTATTTTTGGGGATTTCTAAATTTTCTGGATTCCCCTTGAATGTCTGGAATGTTTGGAATTGTAGGATTTTCTCTGAATTTGCTGTATTTCAAGAATCTCTGGAATTTCTGAATATCGTCTGATGTTCTGGAATTTCTGGAATTGTTGGATTTCGAAGGAATCTCGCGATTGTCTGGGATTTCTGGATTTCTGTGAATTTCTGGAATTTCTAGATTATCTGGATTTCATTGGAATTTCTGGAATTCCTTGAATTTTTAGAATTTCTGGAACGCACACTTCAAACAAAGAAATTCCAGAAATTCTAGAAATTCCAGAAATCCAGAAATTCACCAGGATAGCGGCGCCGGCCCTGGCCTGCAATGGATAGGGAATCGCTCCAATGCCCCTCTGATCGGACTCCAAAGATGCAGCGCGCGCACCGCTGGTTGTCTGTCACAGAATCAGTCGCCACTCCCCCGTGCTCACCCCGGCCGCTTCGACCGAATCCTGCGGGGCGCTGGACTGCCAGGGGCCACCTGGGGCACCTCGAAACGCGGCCATGCGTTCACCGAATGCTGGACCAGCCAAGCTCACATCGGCAACGCCGAGGAAGTTAGTTGCTTAACCGGTTCAAGATAAGTGTTCTGAGGACAGACGCTTGCCAGCAATGCGTTAGCGAACGCCTCGTCGGCAGCAGCCCCGCGATGAAACAGAGCACGACTAGTCCATTGCATGTTAAAAGTACGGACAGCAGACGGCTTAGACCACGCATCCCAATTTCGGCAGTACCATCTGAGTAGGCAACTTCTGTCACCCGCACGTCGGCAAAATATATGCAAATGGGGGGCCGACGGGCGCGGAGGGATTGAGGAGGGCGTCGCGGAGTTACCGATGCACTCGGACACGCAACGTACCCCGCGACCGTTGAAGACAACTTCTGCCCGCGAACCCGTCGGACGTCGTGCTCCACCTTGGTGGGCCCCAGAAACGGCAGGGCCGTTTTCTTCGCCGTTTCCAAAAAATGTCCCTTGAAAATGGAAAAGGCAAATAAACGGCGACCGGAAACGGCAAACAAACGGCTCCAGGATTGGAACCGGAGCCGGAACCGGTCAAACAACGGCGACGGAACCTATAAAAAAATGGCATCGGAACTGGCGAAAAAAAAACTGCAAAACGGAACCGGTGAAAAAAAAACTGCCCTGTCGTTGCCAGGGCCCACTAAGCGCTCGTGGAGGAGCAGCTCCACCACGAGCGCCTCGAAGCCGCGCCAGCGCACGATGCTCTCGCGCATCTTGCACTCGACCGCGCGCGTGGCCAAACGTCGGAGCGTTGGCACGATGCTGGGTCGCCCGATTCGTGGGTCCCCATGCAACACTCGCAGCGCTGGAAGTCCGTCTCGCAGACCCCCTTGAAGGCGCAGTCCGCAGACCTCCCGAACGTCGCTCGCCCCTGGTCGCGTGGGGCCCCCGCGCTGGTGAAGCCGTCGATCGAGGGCCTCGCCCAGCGCATATGGCAGTCGTCGCACGTCCACCACTCGGTCTCGATGTTGCCCGCGCGGCGCGCGCGCGGCCTGGTCGGTCTGCTCGGAGCCCGAGCCGTCGGGATCCAGCCGCTTACCCGCCGCGAACCACTCCCCGCTGCTGATCTTCAGAACAAGGAAGACAAGTCGTGGGTCGTGGCGTCCCTGAGCAGGTTCTTGAAGGCGTTGGCCCCGACGCGGGCCCCCGCGCGGCGCCCCGTGACCGCGCGGCCCAGACTGGGGAACAACTTCAAACATAACTGGTTTCATTCCCACGTCCGCTTCTCCGGGGTCATCGCGGGCTGACTGGACTTTGTCGGAGGTTCCGGCTGCGGCCCCTCCTTGGCGAGGATGCGCCCCGCGCGGTTCAACATCGCGCATCGCGTCGGGAAAGTGCACAGTTGGCGGAGAAAGACATATTTGAGCCGAGGACGCCTGCGGGTTCACATGAAATACGGCGCCCTCAGGCTCAACGACTTGATAGCACCCCTGAGTCTTGAGAGAGACCGTTCCGATGATCATCTTTCTCTGCCGACCTTCCTCTGGCAAATCAAAAACGTTGATCGCAGCGTGTTCTCCTGCCCCTACCTCGCACGCTCTCGACTGGCTGCCGTCGAGCGCCTTCCAAGCGATAACGCCACTGCCAAATTCTGAACCACGCCCAGCTGTCTGAGCATCTCCAGTGGGCGTAGTTAGGGCACACCACAGGCAATGCCATGCGCCGCAGGGGACCCGCAATCTTTGCCATGGCAACAGGCAGTGTCGAGCTGGAGAAATTCGGTTGGTCCTCCAACGCCCACGGCGTCAATGGTCGAAGCAGGGAACTGCGCGGCCCCAGACCGCGTCCCCCCCCCCCCCCCCCCCCCCCCCCCCCCCCCCCCCAGGAAATTTCACCACTTTCTCACGCTGACGTTGGCCACGCACTCCGCTCTGAGCTCCGGCGCCCACCGAGCCGAGAATCATTTGAGGATGAAGTCCAGTGAGAACATGACCTCCAGCGAATGCGGAGGAACTGACCCCAGTCTGGATCGTAGGCCCCCATTGGGAAACGCCACGCAGAGCATCTTCTACTTCGAGGGGAACTGCTTGGAAGCCGCCGAACCCTGCTCGTCGCTAGCGCCGTGGCTCGTCTGGCCCGATCGCACTGTCTCGAGCCCGCGGCTCCATCCTCCCACGCCCGGCGCACTTTGAGCGACGCGTCAATTTACTGTGGGTCCACCGCTTCGGCCGGGCATGCCCCGCGCGTTACCCTCGACCTTTGGACTTGCCCCGTGGGGGTTGCTGTTTGAAAGAGCATCCCCCATGCTTCCGCTTGCGCAAGTGCTGTCGTGCCTGGCTGAAATCAGCATAGACGGCGATGGCCCAATCCTCTTCTAGAACCACGTCGTCGGGCAGGTCTCCAGCAGCGACGAGTGCACTGTCATCGCCCATGCACTTGGTGGCCTCAGCTCTTACATCATATTCCTGATAGGACTCGGGGGAAGTAAACGAAGACTGTTGCATGATGATCAAATGGGAATCGACGCGATCCAACTCCAGGTCCTCGCACCCGCCATCGCCCCCCCTGATATCCGACAAAATGCGAAGCGGACATCGTGCCATGGATACGATGACAGCCTTTGCCCCAAGACAATGGTCGTTCAAGCGCCCGAGGCTATTCACGCGCCAAGTCGACGTCGCCTGATCCCACTGCCCAGCGCTAAACCGCATCCCACGCGGCGCCATCAAGCTTGGAGTATCTCAGGACACGCACCATTGCTCTTCATCGAGCTTGGATTATCTTCATCGGCGCCTGAAGCAGGACCGCGCGTTTCTCGAGTTCCCTGAAGAAGCACGAGCTCACGCGCCATAGAATCCACCAGGGATTAATCTCGCTTGCGCCTGGTGTCTTCCGGGTAGGAAAACTTCCCGACAGCCTTCGGCATCCTGCGGTCTTGGTGCCCGGCACAATCCCTCTGGAAGTGTTCACCACGACCTGCCCGCCGTCCTCGGCTGACAGCTGGTGGGTAAGTTCGTGAATCATGATATTAAGGTCGTCTGTGGCATAACAATAAATGAAGTACCCGTGCTGCGTTCTCAAAGTTCTGGCAGTAGCGAGCCATAGATGCAGCTCATTCATCGAAGGGTCTAGACGAGTATCCGGCTCTTTTCCATCTTTAGTAGGAAGTAGGTCGTTTGGCACCGTTGGGCCCCCCGGTTGTTCAGAAAATTGCCCCCGTTGGCGATCGCAGAATCTGGCAATGGCATCGCCCCAACAGGTCGGACCAAACATGGTAAAAGGCGTAGCCTGTCCTCGCAGAGGCGCATTCTGCCAATCCGGCGCAGCTGGCGAACCACGCCCCCGCACAGTTCAACCTGATGAGTATTGTCAAACATTGGACTGCGTCGCCTCCCGGGACTGTGATAACCAGCGGGCCCAGTCCTGATCTGACCAGTCCACATGGGCATCACCTTCCCAAGAAACATCTTCTCGTCCTCCAGCTACTGCCCAAGAACCCAAGCCTGGCTGTAACCACCGATATGTTTGAAGTTCAACTCTTGAAGCGGAGCGTCGTCCGGGGAACCCATGGCGGCGCTCGGTGCATTGGGGAAGAGGGAGTATGTCGCCCGAGAATCGAATGACAGGGGAGTCGTCCTGACTCCCCTCGTGGAACTCAACCACAGGCTCCGCTGCCATTGTGGATTGTACGGGGATGAATGTATGGACACAGGGAGACACGAGATACAAATAGGGGGACCCGTGCTAGAAGAAAGCACGTTCTGTTTCCTCTTACGGAGGCGTGGGCGCGTCCGTCACCAGCGCGCCGTGATAGCTCAAGGGCCCTTGTGAACCGATACGGCGTCGCCCAAGGGAGCACAGAGAGAGGCGCAGGAAGAAGAGAGGCTGGCAGGGGCCTGACAATCACATGGTCGCATGGCAACCGCAAGGCCTTCAAGAGTATGTGGACCAAGAATGAGCACGCCTCGGTAACGATGATCCCTGGATGAGTGTAGGACGGCATTCTGGCATAGTTGTACAACTCGTCCCAGGACGCCGAATAGAGATAGAGGGCAATCGGAGCGAGCCGCATCAAGCTGCCATTTCCCGCATCCTCACCATCGCAACAACATGTAGGAGGCACGGTTTACCCTTTTTTGTGGAGGAAGACGTCCTACAGTGAATTCGCGACAGTTCCACCAAGTCCGAACGCGGATTTTACTGTCCTGCTGGGGACGAGGCGGAACGCGTTGTTCATGCCACGGGTTCACCAGCACCAGAACAGGACGCACATGTCGCTACCGTCGAAAGCTCGCTTCATGATGATCGAATCGGCCATGCAGAGAACCATGGCAGCGTCGTCCGTCCACTGCCCGCGGCAGAGGCGGAAGCAATTCGACTCACCATAGAACTGCAACTCTGGGAGGTCGAATCTGCTTTCGTCTGGCTCGTTCTGCGCCGGCATGAACTCGAATCGGTGGCGCATGGCGTCCCCGACCGCCATCCCGCACATCGATCCCATTGCTCGCTTGAGGACGGGGGTCCCTGGGGAGCCCTTGATCAGCGCCAACTTCGTCGCCGGGGGTACCCTGTCAAAGATGGAATAGCTGTTCAGATCGTTCGAGTGAGGCACTCCCGAGATGCAGACCAGCTCCCTGTCACGCTCACTGTCCAGCTGGTCGATCACGGCGACGTCCAGTGCCTCCTGGCCACAAGGCACCACGGGGGCTTCCGGCCGCATGGCGACAGGATGTTCCTTTTCGACATCCTGATCCGTACGATCACTCAAGGACCCGTCAAGCATGGCTATGTACACTGTGGAGCCGCGGCTGAAGCAGATAGCACACATGGGCCACAACGGGCTCTGGCACACCGACGGGCGGGACTACACCTGCAAAAACACTGCCGAGTCATGAGCTCCCGAGGGGCTCCTGCGGGATGGGGAGCCTCGCGCGGCCCGCCATGATATTCGAATGTGAACACGTGCCCCCGGACGGGATCCGTCCGTCGACCCTCCGTCCAAGACAGCCTCCGCTAGGAAACTGGCGCAAGCACGCCCCCAGCAGCACAATCAAACCCTGTTGTTCGGGCCGCGTCCAGCCGAGACGACGCCAGGGGCAACCCGAAGGCCTCGACGACGCCGACGACGACAACGCCGACGCCGACGCCGACGCCGACACCGCCGCCACCGACGACGAAGACGACGACGACGAGGACGCCGACGCCGACGCCGACCCCGCCGCCACCGACGACGAAGAAGACGACGACGACGACGTCTCCGCCGACGCTGACCCCGATCCAAACGCCGTCAACGCGAGGGTGAACGACCGGGGTGACTGGCCCAGGGGTGGGCAAACATCGACTTGAAATCAGCGATGCATCGCCGAGCGATCGAGAGTGGGACCTCGACAGCGAGACCGCACGTGCCTGGTCGGGGTGGGCTACGAGGCCCTCTGAGCCTATCCCCCCCTGTCGTGGCCCCTGACAACGGCCTTCAGTCGGGGGGGGGGGACATCGACATGGAATCAACACTGGATCGCCGCTAGATCGTCGGCAGGCGCCCGCTTCGAAATCCGCACGTTCCTGCGCAAGGCGGGCTATCAGGCGGTGGGCTAACACGCCCCTATCGGCGACGAATGGCCGATTGGGGGTCGATGCACTCTCCCCTCTGGGCGTGCCCGTGACGTTCTTGCCTCCGCTCGCCGCCGACGATGGCTGCCCCCGACGCCGAGGCCGCCGCCGACGCCGCCGCCGCCGCCAAAGACGACGACGGCGACGGCGACGGCGACGACGACGCCGATGCCGACGCCGACGCCGACGCCAACGCCGACGCCGACGCCGACGCCGACGCCGACGCAGACGCCGACGACGATGACGACGACGACGACGACCAGTGACCACAACGACGACGACGACGACGACGACGACGAAGACGACAACGACGACGACAACGACGACGAGGCCGACGACGACTACGATGACGACGAATACGACGACGACGACGACGACGACGACGACGACGACGACGACGACGACGACCAGCGGCGACCGTCCCCCCCGCGGTGCGCAGCCTGCGCCCGGCGCCACCAGCGCGGCGGCGGCGGCACCGCAGCCGCCCGTCCCAGCATCGCCCCGCGCCTGGGTCGCTGGCAGCGCGCGCGGAACGCGGTGGGCCTTCGGAACGCTCTCCGAGGGCCACACGACGCGCCGCCGAAGGCCTCCGAGAGCCCTCCAAGGGCCCCCGAGGGGCCGCCGAGGGCTCTGCGACGACAATCCAAGGGGCTGCCGGGCACGAGGCAAAGAACCCTGGGATTTCCTTGTCCTCCTGCTCCTGCTCCTCCTCCTCCTCCTCCTCCTCCTCCCCCTCCTCCTCCTCCTCGTCCTCCTCCTCCGTCTCCGCCTCCGCTTCCGCCTCCGCCTCCTCCTCCTCCTCCTCCTCCGCCTCCGCCCGCCTCCGCCGCCCCCTCCTCCTCCTCCTCCTCCTCCTCCTCCTCCTCCTCCTCCTCCTCCTCCGCATCGTCCACGTCCTCGTCCTCCTCTTCCTCCTCCACCTCCTCCTTTTCCTCCTCCTCCTCCTCCTCCCTCCTCCTCCCCCTCCGCCTCCTCTTCCTCCTCTCCTCCTCCTCCTCTCCTCCTCCTCCTCCTCCTCCTCCTCCGCTCCTCCTCCTCCTCCTCCCTCCCTCCTCATTCTCAGGCTCCTTCGCTTCCTCCTCCTCCTCCTCCTCCTCCTCCTCCTCCTCCTCCTCCTCCTCCTCCTCATCATCATCATCATCATCATCATCATCATCATCATCATCCATGCTCCTCCTTCTCGTCATCCTGCTCCTCCTTTCCCTCCTCCTCCTCCTCCTCCGCCTCCTCCTTCTCCTCCTCCTCCTCGCCTCCTCCTCCTCCTCCTCGTCCTTCTCCTCCTCCTCCTCCTCCTCCTCCCTCCTCCTCCTCCTCCTCCTCCTCCTCCCCCCCCGGTTCCGCCTCCGCCTCCGCCTCCCTCCTCCTCCGCCTCCGCCTCCGCCTCCGCATCCGCCCCCTCTTCCTCCTCCTCCTCCTCCTCCTCCTCCTCGTCCTCTTCCTCCTTCTCTTCCCGCCTCCGCCGCCGCCGCCGCCGCCGCCTCCGCCTCCGCATCCCGCCGTACCCCGTGATCTCGGACGAGGTGGCGCGTGCCTCGGCGAGAATGCACGCGTGGTCCTCGGTGTACCCGATGGTTTGGCACTGGTCCACGGTGGGCGTCTTGCCGCCGTAGTTGTTGGGTTCGCACGTGGCCCTCGCGACCCCGGAGGCACGCAGAATCGCGGCGGCGCCCTGCTGCGCAAGTCCGAAGGTCGCGGCCAGGGACCGTTTGCCAAATCCTGGGACCAAACGCCCGAGGGCCTTGCAGGGCTCAAGGATCTTGACAGGCCAGAAGTGGTTGTGGAAGAGAGCAGTGAAGGTGTCCTGTAGGTCGCCGTCGAGCTGACGGCGCTTTTCGTCCTTCTTGGAATGTTTGCTCTTTTCCCGCGCGCGGTCCTTGGCGGAGCCACCCCCTTTGGGGCGCTGCTGCCCGGGGCCCGCCTCTAACGGGGGCAGCACCCGAGAACTGGTCCTCAAAGGGCTGGTGGAGTGAGGGCACCATGGCGATAGCTGCAGTCTCGTGGAAGGTGACGCGGATCCAAGTCACGTGATGCTCTGGGTCTAGCTGGATCTGGGCGACGTCTTGTTTGCATTGGACCTCCTTAGTGCCAAGCTTGTAGATGGCGCCGTCAATGTGTGCTGGGAGCCCCCGCTTAAGGATTGGGATCGCGAAGGCGGTGCCGCGTAAGTGGGGCTTTCGGGCCGAGGATGGCGATGGCCTCGGCGACCTCCAGGCGGTTGGTCCTGCACTTGCTCGAAGATCTTTTCGCCGTCGTCGATGTCATGAAGGGAGATGCCGTCTGGGTACGCGGTGACGTCGGCGCCTTTGGTGGGCGCAGAGGTGACCGGGACAGACCAATGGCCGGTGGCAGGGCTGACGTAGGGGGCTGGCTGCTCAAGCCGCAGCCTGCGAGCGCGCCGCTTGGCGGTCGGGGGTGGTTGTGGTACAAGCTCGTTGTTGCTTGGTGTGTGCGAATTGGTCGTATGTGTAGCTGATACCGTTGGGCGCACACAGGCGCGCCAAGGCAGCCCTCACCTTATTGGCGTCGTGCTGGTGGTTGTCGAATGCGCTTTGCAGGTCTTCGACGTGGTGTCGCGCCAGGAGGTTGTACGCCTGGGTGGCGCCGTCGTATCCGCTCTTGACGAGCGAGGCGACAGACAGCTGCTTGCAATGATGGGGCGTGCCTTCGACAGGCGGCTTGCGCGGCGCAGGCTGCTTGGAGGGCAGGCGACGGCGGCCGTGTGACTTCGGAATCGCATGGAACCGTTCCCAAGGACCTCAATTGCATATGCAATTGGGCGATGCCAGGGGGGCATGCCAGGGGAACGCGCCGCGGAACGTCCCAAGGGACGCGCCAGCGGACGTACCAGGGGACGTGCCATGGGGACGCACCGCGGGACGTGCCAAGGGGACGCGCTACGGAACGCGCCAATGGACGCGCCACGGGACGTGCCAACGGACACGCCACGCGACGTGCCAGGGGGACTCGCCACGGGACGCGCCACGGAACGAGCCAGGGAACGTGCCACCGGACGTTCCTGACCCAGGGCCAAGATCCCTAATAAAATTACGCTGCGTCCGCGCTCCCAGGGCCACGATCCATCGTACATTCCAAGGCGTCCGCGTTCTCAGGGCCACGATCCCTCGTAAATTACGCTGCGTCCGCTCTCCCTGGGCCACGACCCCTAATAAACTACGCTGCGTCCGCGCTCCCAGGGCCGCGCTCCCTCGTGAATTGCGCTGCGTCCGCGGTCTCAGGGCCATATTCCCCAGTAAATGTGCACTGTGTCCGCCCCCCCAGCGCCAGGATCCCTTGAACATTACGCTGCATCCGCGCTCCCAGGGCCACGATTCATCGTAAATTATGCTGCGTCCGCGCTCCAAGGGCCACGATCCCTCGTAAATTACTCTGCATCCGCGCTCTGGGCCACGATTTCAAATGAACTACGCTGCGTCCGCGCTCCGCGGGCCGCGCTCCCTCGTGAATTGCACTGTGTCCACGCTCGCAGGGCCAAGTTCCCCTGTGAATTATTTTGTGTCCGGGCTCCCAGAACCACCTGGGCATCCTGGGGCGCCCAGGCCGCTGAATTTCTGCAAAACAAGCGTTTCGATCGAGACATCTTCAAATATTCAGCGCGCAGGGCGCGCCATCCTCGAGCAGGCACGCAAAAAGTCGACTTGCTCTCACTGTCTAACAAAAACTCAAAGCATCCAGACATCGTGTTTGTTCTCGGATTATGCGCAGAAAGATCCGTACACAATTTTCGAACGAGGGAGAAAATGTGTCTGCGGACCCCGTCATTTTTCGAAGATCCGAGATTTGGGGCACATTTCCCTCGAGAGGGCACGCGCGAAACTCATTATTTCCACGCCGAATTTGACTTCACCTTGTTTGTTATCGAGCGGAAATTCGCCGGCCCTCTTCAAGTCGTCCCCCGGGGTGAAGCCAACTGGAAGAGAACCACGGGCCCACGTCCTTTCGCGGAAGGTGTCTGGGCCGGAGGGATGGAGGGGGAGTGGAGCGCAGCGGGTCGAGAAGGGAGGGGGAATGGGAAAGGATGGAGACGAGAAGGAGAAAACCCTCCGAACAGGTGGGTGCTGGCGGTTTGAGGAGTGATGATGTCGACGATGAGGGTAAAATAAAGTGGAGGCGGGTGGCGAAGGAGAGGACGATTACGAGAACACAATCTTGTCTGAGTCACAACTCGGCGCAAGTGTACGCAGTTGACCACTACAGCCCGGCAGTAGGCGCTCCGAAAGAAACATCAAATGATTGGATCGCCCAGCCCTGCGGAGGTTCCTACAGGCATGGGGGGAGCTGAGGGTCGATTAGAAGGAGGTAGTAAGAGAAAACGGGTGACGACGTGATGAGAACAATGATGCTAGCAAAAGGAACTTGCTAAAGAGACCATTCGTATGCAAAAGTGAATGCTGTTTGCAGAGATGGCGGGCGTGCTCGATCTGGCTCGACCATGCCTCCACGCTCAAATGCTCAACCGATGATGTAAACAGTCTGCGGGGGGGGTCGCTTCATGGCGGTGATCGTCTTCGCCCAGCAACCCTCCGATCGTGAACCCGGCGCGAGTAAGGTGCTTGACGAAGACGTTGAGATAGCGGGTGCCCTCGAGCGCGTGTCCGTGCGCAACTTTCACGTCCACCCTCCCAAGCGTCACCCACCTAGGCTCCTGCACGACGGCCTCTGAGGCGCGGAACTGGAAGCCGCCAGCCTGTCTTGCCTCCGCCCACCTCCCCGTGAGGTTCAGCTCCTGGAAGTACATGTCGGCGCACTGCTCGCCGAGCCTCTGCGCCTCCGCCTCGACGCGCAGCAGGGTGCCCTCCTTGGACGCGCCCCTCGGAATGTGGACCAGGACGTGCCTGCCGGCCTGCATGAGGTCGAAGCGCTCGCCGTAGATGTTCTGCAGGTGCGGGTCGCCGGTGCCCGCGACTGTGCCCATGCCGGCCCCAATGATCACGGGAACCGGCGTGGGAGCCTCGGTGACTGCCGCAGTGGAGGCTGCGGCGCCCATCGCAGGAGCCGCCATAGTCGGAGCCGCGGTGAGAATCGGTTCACTGCTCCAGTCGGCGGCAGCCATAGCAGTGTTCGTCTCGGCCTCGATAGCGGTAGACGCAGCAGCAATCGAGGCGGAAAGGCTGTCAGCACTGTTGCCGCCAGCGATGTTCACCGCGAAGGTCGTCGTCACACTGACGTGTGACGAGAGCTGGCGACGGACAGAAGCGGGGCGCCGACCGACATGGGGCGTGATGGTGAAACCCGTGATGGTGACGTCGGAGGTGGACACTTGCAGAGCAGTGGCCAGGCCCGTCTGCTTAGCGGCCACGTAGGTAGTGGAGTTCATGAGGTCATCAGCTGTCACGCCATCTGGAAGAGCTTCCTCCGCGGTGTACTCGCCAACAATTTTTGCATAGTTGGACAGGTAGCTGCCCGTTTCGTTCGAGCACGCGAGACCGAATGCCTGATCCGCCACCGTGCCGCTGGGCACGGAATGGGCGTGTCCTGAAGTCCTGTGTATCATCCCCTGAGTTTCCGTCCTCGACCCTGAAGACTCTGAAGGGGCACGGTCCTCGAATTCGCACGTTTCCTTCAGAGCGTTTCTTGAATTTCGGCGATGCAGGCGTCATGGAGGGGAGAGGGGGCGGGGAGGGGTTATGACGTAACGCCCCCCCCGCCGTGTGGCTCTGGCACCATAGGCGCGCCTGCGCGCACGACGACGATGACCGACAAGCGACGAGCGACGAGCGAGCAGCATGTAGGTGGCGATCTGCCCCACAGCGTTTGTGTACACTGTGTACACCACACTGTTCGCGTGCACAACAACGCGCGTGACACCACAGCGCCTGCGTACACCGCAACAGCCGTGTGCAACGCATCGCCTGCGTACACCACAATGCTTGCGTGCACCACAGCGCCCGTGTACACCACAGCGAATGTGTACACCGCAGTATCCATGTGAAACACACTGCCTGTGTACACCACAATGCACGCCGCGTGCACCGCAGCGCTTGTGCACACCACAGCGCCTGTCTACACCACCGCATCCGCGTGCTGCGCAGCGCTGGCGTAAACAACAGTGCCCGCGCGCACACGAGAGGTAGAAGAAGCATGTCGGTGAGGATCTGCTGCGGACAGCTAAACGCCACGCCAAGGAAGTGCTGATAATAGAATGCGACATATTTCCCTCCTCCCACCTCCGCCACCTCCACCTCCACTTCCTCCTTTCATCCTCCTCATCCTCCTCGTCGTCTCCCCTTCCTCCTCCTACTCCTCCTCCCATTCCTCCTCCTCCTAAACCTCCTCCTTCTCCTCCCTCACCCTTCCCCCCTGTCGTGAGGGTCATCGCTACAGCGCACGTGCGCGTCGCAGCGTGCACCACGTAATGGTTTATTGAATCAACCCACTTGGTTCTCGGACGGCCAATTTTGCTTGAGGCCCCTGAACGCAGATGGGAGGAGTTAGGATGATGCGGGCGGACTCGGGAAACTCGATCCCAGCGGCGCTCCTTTCTCCATACAGATTCCGTTCCAAATCCGATATAAAACAATAGTTTTCGATGGAATCCACAGGCGTTCCATTTTGTCAAAAAGATTCATTCCAAAATTCGATATGCAACCGTGGTATGTTGTTGCACGCGGTTGCTGCGGTGCACACACGCGCCGTGGTGTACACAAACGTGGTGTGCACGTGCACTGTGGTGCCCGCAGGCAATGTGGTACACACTGGCGCTGTGTTGCACGCGGCTGCTGTGGTGTACATAGGCGCCGTGTTGTACACAGACGCTGTGGTGCACGCAGGCACTGTGGTGTACACAGACGTTGTAATGCAGATCGCTACCTACATTCGGGGATGGACAGACCTCCCTTTAGTAAAACGTGGTTTAGTGAGAACGACCTGAGGCCCAAACCTGGCGGGCGCAAGCCTGGAAAATAACGGCCACGGCGCCCTCTCGAGAACCGAGAACGGACAATTCACTAATCGACGTGTCACTGTTGGGGGTTCTGTCCACCCCCGATACATCCTGCTGCGACCCGTCCCCAGTCATTCCTAGGCATTCCCATACGCCGCCGGCGCGAAACGCAACGTCATCGGCCCCCTCCACACCCCCCCCGGATGATTGTCGTCATCGGCCTGGACTTTTTTACCCCTGGGAGAAACCGCAGATGTCGTTTTAAGCAGAGAATTAAACACTTCGTGGTCTTCGAGGTCCCAAAACTCCACTCCCCGGCCACATTCTGAATGCCCCACAACTCCATTCCCGGGCCACATTTTGAATGCCCGGAGCCAACTGTAGGCCACTTCGTGGTCTTCGAGTTCCCAGAACTCCATTCCTGGGCATGATTTTGAATGCCCGGAACCAACCGTAGGCCCCTTCGTGGTCTTCGAATTCCCCAAACTCCATTCCTGGGCATGATTTTGAATACCCGGAGCCAACTGTAGGCCACTTCGTGTTCTTCGAGTTCCCAGAATTCCATTCCCGGGCCACATTTTGAATGCTGAGGCAAGCTGATGCTGAGGCTGAGGCAGGCTGAGGCAGGCTGAGGCTGAGGCCGAGGCTGAAGGCAGACTGAGGCTGAGGCTGATGCAGGCTGAGGCTGAGGCTGAGGCAGGCTGAGGCTGAGGCTGAGGCGGGCTGATGCTGAGGCAGGCTGAGGCTGAGGCTGAGGCTGATGCAGACTGAGGCTGAGGCAGGCTGAGGCTGAGGCGAAGCGAGGCGAGGCGCGCGTGTCCGCCGGCCGGTGGCTGGCGGGGCCCGGGGGGCCAGCGCGGGCGGGCCGGGGCCCGTGGTAGTTAGACGTTGGAGTAGGCAACGAAGTCGTTCTCCAGCGACTGCCAAAATTCAGTGCCTGCTGCAAGTTCCACCCAATTTGTTGTGATATCCCCGGCAGTGGTGTAGTGTATGAATCGTGTGATGTCGTCGCTCCGGTTTTTTCGCTGTCCACCATGTCTGCGGCAAGCTTGACGTGGGTCATGGGCGTCGGGGTTCCAGGCTGCAGCGAGCCAAGTCCATCTCTGGCGGGACTGCGTTGCTATGCGTCCTGCCCACCGCCATTTCCGCTTGTGGTACAACGTCGTCCAATCTTCCAAATGAGAGCGCGTTGCCCGATCCATAGCTGCATGGGTCGCTCTGCGTATGAACTCGTCCCACGGTTCGAGGTCAGAGTCGTTGTCGGCGTCGTCGAAGTTGAGATGCCGCTAGATGTCGTTGGAGTTTGTTTGTGGTCCGACGTCGGGCTGCTCTGTGTCGGAGCTGGTCCCGTCGCCGCTTGGTGTAGTCTGGTTGTTCACTCGTCGTCTGGGGGTGTTCACGATGAGACGTAACATGCGTCGCTGGGTGCGTCTCAGTGCTAAGAGCATGTCCTTGGTGAGCGTCCACGAGGTGCAGCCATACATGACAGTAGGCGTCACCGTACCATTGAAAAGTCTTAGCCTGCTATGGAGAGGATATCGGCTGCTTGTTAGTTCGTCGTGGAGCTTGTTGAACGCGCCCCATCCCATTGCAATTCGGTTGGAAAGCTCAGATTGGTGGTAGTCGTGAAGGCAGACTGAGGCTGAGGCCGAGACTGAAGGCAGACTGAGGCTGAGGCTGAAGCAGGCTGAGGCTGAGGCTGAGGCTGAGGCAGGCTGAGGCTGAGGCTGAGGCAGGCTGATGCTGAGGCAGGCTGAGGCTGAGGCTGAGGCTGATGAGGCTGAGGCTGAGGCTGAGGCTGAGGCTGAGGCTGAGGCTGAGGCTGAGGCTGAGGCTGAGGCTGAGGAGGCAGGCTGAGGCTGAGGCAGGCTGAGGCTGAGGCTGAGGCTGAGGCTGAGGCTGAGGCTGAGGCAGGCTGAGGCTGAGGCAGGCTGAAGGCTGAGCTGAGGCTGAAGCAGGCTGAGGCTGAGGCTGAGGCAGGCTGAGGCTGAGGCTGAGGGCTGAGGAGGCAGGCTGAGGCTGAGGCTGAGGCTGAGGCTGAGGCTGATGAGCTGAGGCTGGCTGAGGCTGAGGCTGAGGCTGAGGCTGAGGCAGGGCTGAGGCAGGCTGAGGCTGAGGCAGGCTGAGGCTGAGGCTGAGGCTGATGCAGGGAGGCTGAGGCAGGCTGAGGCTGAGGCTGAGGCAGGCTGAGCTGAGGCAGGCTGAGGCTGAGGCTGAGGCAGGCTGAGGCTGAGGCAGGCTGAGGCTGAGGCCGAGGCTGAAGGCAGACTGAGGCTGAGGCTGAAGCAGGCTGAGGCTGAGGCTGAGGCAGGCTGAGGCTGAGGCTGAGGCTGAGGCTGAGGCCAGGCTGAGGCTGAGGCAGGCTGAGGCTGAGGCCGAGGCTGCAGGCAGACTGAGGCTGAGGCTGAAGCAGGCTGAGGCTGAGGCTGAGGCTGAGGCATGCTGAGGCTGAGGCTGAGGCAGGCTGATGCTGAGACAGGCTGAGGCTGAGGCTGAGGCTGGTGCAGGCCGCTGCGACTGTCATCGCGAATGCGACTACGACTGCGAGAACAGCAGAATTCTACAACTGGATTATCATCTGAATATTAAGGGGAATGCTTCCAGATATGCTCCTACACATCGCTGTTAGGTTGCTTTGCCGGGATAATTATGTTTGTTGCATAAAAAAGGCTCCACCCGCGCCCGCGCACACGACGACGATGAGCGACGACTCCCGACGACCGACGACCGACGACGACGACGACGACGACGACGACTGCGGAACAGACTCCAATGCGGATTCCTATGCGGACACCAATGCAGATCCCGATGCGCACGGCGGCACTGCCCGGCTTTACGGGGGGGGCGGGGGGGGCATGGCGCCAGTCATGCCCCAAACCATAAAGAAACAAACTCCTTGGGCTTGGTGCGTGCTACCTGGGGGTTCCAGGCGGTTTGTTGCGTGACTTTGACGGCCCCGAGTCGCCGAAAGATAACACCATGACGCCCGAGATGGCACCCAGACGGCCACAGAGGCCTCCCAGACGCTCCCAGAAGCCTCCAACACGGTTCCCAGAGCCCCGAAAGGCAAACATCATTGATTGTCCGTCGGTTTTTGCAAGTGTTTGAGTTTGAACGGGTAGCTCCAAAACATGACGGTCAATATTCAAGTAAATGGTACAGGGATGTCGAATAGCCGGATGGGGGAGAACATGATCGACCCACGAACCCAGAAAAGGATTGAGAACTGCGAGGCATGAAACCGTTCCTGAGGACCTCAATTGCATATGCAACTGGGCGATGCCAGGGGGGCATGCCAGGGGAACGCGCCGCGCAACGTCCCAAGGGACGCGCCAGCGGACGTGTCAGGGGACGTGCCATGAGACGCACCGCGGGACGTGCCAAGGGGACGCGCTAGGAAACGTGCCAATGGACGTGCCACAGGACGTGCCACGGGACGTGCTGCGCGACGTGCCAAGGAAACTTGTCACGGAACGCGTCACTGAACGTGCCAGGGAACGGTCCAGGCGACGCGCCAGCGAACGTGCCAGGGAACGCGTCAGGGAACGTGCCACGGGACGTCCCTGACCCAGGGCCACGATTCCGCGCAATGAAAATTACGCTGCGTCCGCGCTCCCAGGGCCACGACCCATTGTAAATTTACACAACATCCGCGCTCCAAGGGACAGGGTCCCTCGTCAATTACGCTGCGTCCGCTCTCCCTGGTCGTGAATTCCCTCGCGTCCGCGCTCCCAAGGCCACACGTTCCCCAGAAAGTGACGCTGTATCCCGCCCCCCAGCGCGCGGATCCATTGTAAATTACACTGCGTCCGCGCTCCCAGGGCCACGATCCATCTGTGGCGCCGTGGGGGGCGTTTGGGGCACACGCAGTTCTGGTGCTGGCTCTGGGCCGCCAGCGACCAGCTCGCGCGCGAGGTCGGCACGCCCCCTGTGATCCGCCGACACTGATCCGGTGCTCTGCTGGACCTGGTGAGGGGGGCGAACATGCACCGATGCCGCTGCTCCCTGGGCGCAGCTGGACCTGGGAGGAGGGCGAACATCCGGCCGCGGCAGCGAGGGAGCTCCAGGGGGCCCAGGGGCGCCAGCATGGTGGCGGGGCAGCGGTATCGGCGTCTGTTCCTGCGCTGAGGATCTGCGCGCAGAAAGCACTCGGCGCGGCGGCCGCGGTGAAGCATTGGCCCGCGACGCGCGGCCTGCTGAACCACGTGGGGACCGCGAACAAGTGCGCGGCGAACGCCAGGTGCAAGGATGAGGAAGTAGAAGGGGGGCGCAGGAGGGGGAGCGGGGATGAAGAGGGAGAGGAGAAGGGGGATCAGGAGGACAAAGTGAGACATCGTCATCGTCACCATCATCACCGTCAGCATCAACACCAACACCAACAGCATCTTCATCATCATCATCATCAGCAGCAGCAGCAGCGGCATCAGCAGCAGCATCAGAATCAGGATCATCATCATCATCATCATCATCAGCGTTAGCATCAACGTTAGCATCATCATCATCATTATTTTCTCACTCCGCTTCATCCGTATCATCACAGCCACAACCTGCACCACCATCATCATCATCAGCAGCAGCAGCATCATAAGCATCAGCAGCGGCATCGTCATCAGAATCGTCAGCTACAGCATCATCATCATCATCATATTCATCATCACAATCAGCATCACCATGACCATCTCTATCGACATCATCACCATCCCCATCACCATCATCACCAGCATCAGCACCATCATCAGCATCAGCATCAGCATTAGCACCAGCATCATGATCTTCCTCCTCATCGTCATCACCAGCAGCAGAGCAATGATCATAAGAATTCGCATCATCATCACTATCAGCATCATCATCAGCAGCAGCATCATCACAATCATAAGTATCATCATCCGTATCATCGTCCTCGTTAGCATAATCACCATCATCCTAATCGGCATCATCATCAGCATCAGCATCAGCATCATAATCAGCATCAGCAGCATCATCATCATTATCATCATCACCACCACTACCATCATCGCCATCATCAGCAGCATTATCGTTATCATTATCATTATCAGTATCATCATCATCATCATCATCATCAACATCATCATCATCAGCATCATCATGGGCAGCATGATCATCAGCATCAGCATCAGCATCAGCATCAGCAGCATCATCATCAGCATCAGCATTAGCATCATCATAATCCTCATCGTCATCGTCATCATCATCATCATCATCATCATCATCATCATCATCATCATGATCATCATCATCATCAGCATGATCATCATCAGCATCATCGTCATCATCATCGTCAGCAGCCTCATCATCGACATCATCAATGCCATCACTTTGTTCCCAAATAGCGACCTCATCAAACCTAATGGGCCCAGACTCCAAATTCTCAAATTTACTGGGGCTCCCGGCGTGCTCCTGGGCTCTGGGGCGGCTTTCAGCATAACGTTTTCGGATCCAAGAGGGTCCCAAGACGGACCAAGGGGGTTCCCGAGACGCCCAAAGACCGCATCAAGACGCTCAAGATGTTTGTAAGGCGGCCCACGAGGCCTCCGAGACGCAAAACTCACAGATTGCCCATTGACTTTTCAATTATTTTGGAGTCCTGCTTTTCGAATTCCCGACGCTCCAGAACGGCACAAGCGGCTCCCAGGACCGCCCCAAGAGGCCCCCAGGAGGGCCCCAACATGGCCCAAGAACGCTCCAAGACGGCGCCCAAGACGGCGCAAGGGGGCCGCAAAAGCAGCCCCAAGAAGGGCTCGAGAAAGGGAACACGAACCAAAAATCCAGGCCTTCCGGCCCAAGAGGCCCCCGGCTCCAAGAGACCCCCAAGAGGCCCCGAAGACGCCCCCAAAGGCCCCCCCAAACGGCCCCCAAGACGCCTCAAAACGGCCCCCCTCCCGCGACACCCCAACGAACATCCTAGAGGCCTATGACCCCAACCCAGGCACGGTGGCGGGATGGGCCGAAGGCAGTTATATCCGCCGCCCCCTGCTTGCAGAGGTGCACGGCGTGCTGGATGATTCAGGTTTTGGTTTTGGTTCTTTTTCCAAAAAGAACTTCCTAGTGGGCTCCGGCAGAACCCGCCGGCCACCCGGAATTTCCCCAAACGTGCTCAACGACCGCAAAAAATCCTCCAAAAACGGCCGTTTCGCTCGGGACATCCTCAAACAATCGCGAAGATGGCCCAAGATGGCCTCCAAGTCCGCCCGAGATGGTCCAAGACGGCCTCCAAAACGGCCCAAGAGAGTCCAAGACGGCCCAAGACGGCCCAAGAGGCCCCCCAGAGGCCTCCCAGACGGCCCAAGAGGCCTCCAAGAGGTCCTCCAGGAGAGTCCGAAGAGGCCAAAATCATTGATTTTTCCTTGGTTTTTGAAGGATTCTGGCATTTGCGCCTTTTCGGCTCTCCGACGGCTCGAGACGGCCCAAGAAGCCCCCAAGATCGCCCAAGAGGCCCCCAAGAGAGCCCCATGATGGCCCAAGTGGCCTCCAAGATGGCCCCTAGAGGGCCCCAAGAGGGCCCAAGAGGCCTCCAACACGCCCAAGATGGCCTCCAAGACGCCCAAGATGGCCTCCAAGACGGCCCTGGAGCGCCCCAAGAGGGTCCCCCGTTGGCCCAGAAAGGCCCCCCAAACGGCTCCCGACGGCGTCAGACGTGCCAGGAACCCACCAAGATGGCCGAAGTTGGCTCGAAGCTGGCCCAAAAGGGCCCAAGAGGCCCCCAAGAGGGCCTCCAGGAAGGCCAAAAGATGCCAAAATCACTGATTTTCCCAAGGTTTTTGATGGATTTGGGCATTTCCCTTTTTTCGGCCTTCCGACGGCCCGAGACGGCCCAAGAGCCCCCAAAGATCGCCGAAAGATCGCCCAAGAGGCCTCCAAGACGGCGACGATGACCATCAAGACGCCCACGTGTTCCCCGAAGGCTTTCCAAACCGACTCGGGGAACACATGGTCCGATGGCTTGGCAGGTCTGGCCTCAACGTTCGGCCACATAGGCGCTTCCACAAAGGCAGGGGGCGGCGGTGATTCGCCGTAGGCGTCTTCGATAGTACATCCAGGTACTCGAATCACTACTGCAACCGCATTTGCCATTGTGCCAACAGCCAGTGCAACCATCGCACGTAGACCCTGTTAGGTCGAAAAAACCACAGCCAGTCTCGCAGCTGCAGCATCCCGCCGCCTTACGCGCGTCTGTGCAATCCCAACAATTGCAACCACATGGTGGGCTGGCGCAGCCGCAAGTGGCCTGCGCTTCCGATAGCGTCGGAGACGGCGTCGGGCTTGCCGTCGGGCTTGGCGTCGGGCTTGAGGACGGAGACAGCGTGGCGCCCGGTGGCAGTAGCGTCGGGTGTGGCGTTGGGCTTGGCGTCGGGATTGGCGTCGGTGGCACTGCGTAGTAGGACAAGTAGCTGCCCGAATTGCTCGAGCACGCGAGACCAAATACGTCATAGTAGGGCCAGGTAGTCGAATCACTACTGCACCCACATTTGCCGTCCTTCCAGCAGCCATTGCATCCGTCGCACACAGACACCATATCGCCATAACCGCAACCATTACCATTATCGCAGCTGCAGCATCCAGCAGCAGTGCGCGCTGCTGTGCAATCCCAACAATTGCAACCGCAGGGGGGGGTGGAGCAGCTGCAAGTGCCAGATGATGCCACATCCCCGAGCGGGGGGTAGGTGGGCGGAGCTGTCGGACTGTACGTTGGAGACGGCGTCGGATACGGCGTCGGGCTTGGCGTCGGGCTGGGTGACGGGCTTCCCGTAGGACTTTCGGTCGGGCTTGGCGTCGTCGGGCTTGGCGTCGGGCTTGGCGTTGGGCTTGGCGACGGGCTCGGTGTGGGAGTGGGCGTTGGGTTTAGCGTCAAGCTTTTCGTCGGAGATGACGTCGGATACGGCGTCGGATACGGCGTCGGGGTTAGCGTCGGATGCGGCGTCGGGTACGGCGTCGGGCTTGGTGTCGGGTACTGCGTCGGGCTGTTCGTTCCGGCAGCAGAGGCAACATCGGCAGCTGAGATTGCCGCATCGAACCAAGCAAACTGCCGAGCAGTAATGTCCGAACCGGGATCTGTATCACCAACCCAATTGTTTAGGCCAACGTAGAAATTCGGAGAAACGGCCCATGGAATAGTTGGGAAGCTCCACAATTGCGATTGGCCGAAATGTGCTCCATTCTTGTATACTGTGCACAAACCGCTAGTGGACAGAGTGAACCCAACATGGATCCACGTCGATAAGGCCCAATAGTTAGGGAAGTCACACCATCCCAGCCATGCGCCAAAACCAATTCGCAAAGTTGATGCGGAGTTTCTGTGTAAGCGGATCGAAGGTGTTGAACCTGTTCCGAAATCCCAGATGCGATTATAAGACCCCGTCCAGCTATGAATTTGCACCCACCCGACGAAACTGAAACCACCAACGACAGAGAACGTGCGTCCATTTGGAACTGAGCCACTACCTTGATCTTGTGCGGTGGCGTATTCAAACATGGGCCCTGACGCCTGGGTCTGTGCGTAATAAGACAAGTAGTTACCAGCAGATGCCGAGCACGAGAGACCAAAACCGTCGTAGTTTGGCCAGCCAGCCGCATAGTTCGCAGCACAACCACATTTGCCTTGGTGCCAACAACCGTTGCACCATTGGCAACCATGACCTGTACCCGAGTTGCCATCCACATAACCACAGTTGTGCCACGCCGCAGCCCCATGATTCGTGGTTCCATCGCAGGTGCAGCATCCAGCTGATTTTTTTGCCTCTGTACAATCCCAACAATTGCAACCGCAGGGTGGGCTGGAGCAGCTGCAAGTACCAGATGATGACCCCAACGACTCCAACCACTGCGTCGGGCTTGGCGTGGGATGCGGCGTCGGGCTTGGCGTCGGATACGCCGTCGGATACTCCGTCGGAGAATGCGTGGCGCCTGGTGGCAATGGCGTCGGGCTTGGCGTCGGGCTTGGCGTCGGGCTTGGCGTCGGGCTTGGCGTCGGATATGGCGTCGGATACGGCGTAGGAAACGGGGTCGGGCCTGGCGTCGGATACTGCGTCGGGTTTGGCGACGGGCTTGGCGTTGGCGATGGCGTGGTATCTGTGCAGATGTAGCCAGACATGATGTAGCCATCGTTGCAAGTCTCACAATGGTCTCTCACAATTCGTGACTGCGGCGTGACACAAGTCCTGCAGGCCGAACCGCTTCCAGTCTTGCAAGTCAGCCTCTGATGCCGGTAAACAACGAATCCCGACGACTCCTCGCTGCCCCTGCTTCCGACCTGCGCATAGCAAGCCCCAGAAGTCATCGCATTGGGCGGCATGCAAGCGCACGTGCTCCCCAGGCCGCCGTCGTTCGGCGAGTCGGAGTACAAGTACTCGCAGGCGTTCCCGGCCAGCTCCCACTGCGTCACCATGGCGAAACACTGGGAAAGGCCCAGCGCACCCCAAGAGGCTCCTGCCATCGCCTGGCCCACAGCACAACTGAACTGCTTGGCCATGTTGGACAGGCCCGTGACCCAAGCAGGCGTCGGCCCCCAACCGTCACAAGTGAAGCAAAAGTTCTTCGTGACGGAAATTGCGATTTTCCAGGGCTGAACTTGTTTCATGTCGGACCTCTGAAGCGACCCGTTGCGGGCCCCCTCGAGGACCGACTTGGGACTCGGCTTGCTCCTGATAGATTCGCCGAAGCTCGGGTCGGAGGTGGCCTCGGAGAGGGCACGCAGCGACGGCAGCAGCGATGTCGATGTGAACTCCTCCTGGCGGGCAGCAACCCTGGGTGTTACTTCCAAGATCGTGATCGAGAACATGTAGCCGAACTCGAGCTTCGGCTGCGGATAGAGAGGCAATGACACCATCGCCGTGTACTTGTCCGCCGAGATGATGCCGTTCAAGGAGGACGACCAATACGACCACTCAGCGCCCGCAGGCCCCACCGTACAATCGACGCTTAAGAACGCCAAGACCGAGGCAGTGGGCATGTATGGGGCACCGAAGATTGAAATCCTGCCCGTGGCGAAACCGACGATGTGGGCGGCGAAACCGCCGTTCAGACATCCAGCCAAGGCCTGGACTCCAAACAGAGCATTCGCCCACTCGAGGTGGACGCCCAACGTTACTGTGAAGTCGCCCTCGTCGCAGAACACCTCCTCCAGCCTTGTCTGAAGATTGGTTATGAGGTTGTCGCCCACGGTGATGAGGTCGTCGAGCATGCGCCCTGAAGACACGTACCTGAACAGACCGATAACCCCCTTCGCCGCAGTCTGGACGAAGCTCGGTGCGCACCAGCTGCCACCCGTCCAGTCAACCTGCAGGAAGGGCGTGGGGATGCCGAAGGACACTCCGGGGAGGCTCGTGGTCTTGGTGAGGCAGTTCGTCAACCTCGCAACAGTGTCCGCGAAGCGCTGGGTCATCCCGAAGATGTCAAGCACGTCCCAGAAGGACATACTGCCCACGTAGTCGAAGGCGCCACAGTCGGTGAACTCGGCCGCGGGGGCGTCGTGCCAGCAGAAGTCGATGCTCACGGCCGCGGCCTCTGAGTAGATCCCGTTGATGACCCTCTGCCCGAAATCGAGCAGTGCCTGGGCAACCGCGGTAGCAATGATGGCCTCCGGGGGGAACAGGGCCGCCCTGATGCCGTCAACAATGTTTGGAATGCAGCGAAGATTTACCATGACCATGTTCTCAAGCACATCCAAGAGCGCAGTAAATCCGCACTCGAGGAATGAGATGGCGCTGTTGACCCCCTGCGAGATGCAGTCAAAGACGCCGGAGCAGCCTGTGGGGATGAGATCGAAACCGCACATGTTACCAACCGCGTCGTTGACGGCTTGCACGACTTGTGACAAGCAATCTCCGAAGCTCATGATCACATTCACGACCGTGTCGACAACGCAATTGTAGACATACTCCACTGCGCTCGTAAAGCACGACCACACGCAATTTGTGATACAACTCACGGTGCAAACGACCACCTGGACGACCGTGGTTACAACCTCGACGACGGCGTCCCACCAACGGCGCCGGCGCCTCCCGCCCCAGAACTCAAGCTCTTGGGAAGATCGAGCGACCGCGCTGGACCTCGCTTGTGGGGAGATCTCCACAGCGGCGCTCGAGTTCGGATGCGCCATCCTTGGGCAACTGCTACAACTTTGACTGCAGGAATTCCCGCAATTGTCGACCCACCTGGTTTCCGTGCAGGAGCTGGGGACCGAGAAGATACTCTCGAACGTGCACGAGGGCCCGCGCAGCGCCCTCTGGGATGCGGCTCGGTGCCTCGATTCCTTCACCTCGGTTGTGCCGAGCCACTCGTCGAGGGTCAAGAATAATGAGCCACTGGAGCTGTGGTTCTCCTGACGAGCCGCAAACAGATCTGTATCTATACGATCACCCTTCGGCCTTCGGGTGATAAGGAGGTTAGGGGGGGAGGGGAATCAACATCTCACTCCATCGATATCACTATAGAATAGATGCCACGATCAGTGTCACAATCGATCTCACGATCGAGCTCGCAATCGATCCAACTATCCCTCTCACTATCGATACCTCTATCGATCTCACGATTCCACAATCGACCTCACCATCGATTTCACTATCGATCTGTCTGTCGATCTCACAATCAATCTCGCTATCGATCTCACTGTCGATCTCACTATCGATCGCACTATCGACATCACTATCGACCTCCCTATCGATCTCACTATCGGTTTCACTGTTGATCTCACTATCGACCTCTTTGTCGACCTCATTCTCGCAACAACGATCTCACGGGACTCAGCGGGAAACCACGGGACACCGCGGGACAAGGCGGGGCACCACAGGACACCACGGGACACCACGGGACACCATCGGGACACCATCGGGACACCATCGGGACACCATCGGGACACCACGGCGGGACACCGCATGACAACACCTACGCACCACCAGAAAACCATCGGTACAAAAGTCGAGACACCGCGGGACACCACGGATCACCATCGAGACTGCACGGCGGGACACCCGCGGCACCCGCCCGCCACGCGGCTGGGGGGGCGGACTTCTGTCCTCGCCGCGCCCTAGCCAAGGAAGGTTCAGTCCTTCAGCCCGCGCACGCAACTTCGCCTCGCCCGCACCTACGACGCAAACCCAAAACCGAAACCGCTTTCCAATGGGAGGCTCTCTGTTGCACTTCGATATCACCCCCCCACCTCCGATCCGCGCCCTCGCAGACTGGATTCTGGGGCGCGGTCCGCGCATACGCGATCGCACGGATACGTTCCGCGTGGGGCATCCGCAAAAACCGCCGCGCATCCGTGGGATCGCGGCCCAGGGGCCCGGCCCGCGAGGCCGTGGATATGGATGTGTGTTTCGCCCATGGTATCCACGAAGTCTTGCACCGAAGCTCTGGGAAGCAGCACGCTGTCCAGACTAACGTCGATCGAGCCAGCGACAGCTTCGAGCGCGGCGACGTCTTGCCCGATGAGGGTGCCGAAGAGTTCGTCCACGTCCAGGGTCGACGAGTTGTCCTTATCGAGCTCGACGAACTTGCTCTCGTGAAAGACCAGCTCCTCATCCGAAGACAGGTTCCGCCACGCATGCGTGACCCTGCGGTCCCCCTGGATGACCACATAGTTCTGGGAGTGGCACGGGGCCGTCTCTTGCGTCGGGAATCCTGCCCCGCAATGCCCGCACTCGTCGACATAGTTACAGTCGGAGCAAAACTGGCACTGGCTGCAGCTGTCGCACGTACCGTCGTAGCAGAATTCCGAAACCTGGCAATCGGAATGACCTTGGCACTGCACAGCGTCCGGATTTGGTCCAGGGCCCTGCCGGCAGGTGCCGCAGCACAATGCCAAAACTTGGCTCGACAAATTCGCGTCTGCACAATACGGGCCGACATCTGAGCAACCGCTGACGTCGTTGAGCCGTGCATGATCGTTTGCAAACTGGATGGCTCCTGCGTCGTCGTCGACGCAGCCGGCGGCCTGCATGCGCTCGGTGCGCATGTCCCGTCCGCCCAATGATCTGTCCGTCGGCGCGTCTGAACCGTGCTGGTCCACGACACGCGTCTGGATCAAGTGCACATCGGACATAAGGTCCCCTGCCCCCCTGGCCCAACCGCAAATTGGCACAAGAAGCCCCGCGCTCAGGACGACGGGAATGTTCATGGTCGCCATGGGCGATAAAACAGCGTATGTACTGTGGTGTTTGTAGTTTGTGTTTGGGCACGAAGTGTGCACCGGTCGTTTGGGTAGAAATACTTCAGCGATTCGTTGAACCAGCACGGTTGCAAGAAATATTTGGGGAGGCTCTCAAATGCCCACCTCATCCTGTTCCCAGCCATTCCTCTCTCCTCCTCATCATCGTCATCATCATATCATCATCATCGTCATCATCTCATCATCTTGCGCATGGTCTTCAAAGGCCCTCTCCTCATCCGCCGCATCTCTACGCCGAAGAACAGCCAGACATTGCCAGAGACAAAATTCTTCGACCCTCGAATCTCGACCCTCCCGTCCATCCTCCCTGGCACCGAAAAACGGCAGGCCACGGGCGAGCGTGGAAACGGGTACGAAACACACCTGCGGAACCATCTTTGGCTCTTGCTCAGTGCTTTCATTTCGTCGAAGACCCGCCCCTGGATCTTCCGACGAGAACGGTGTGCAATGGGCGGGCGGCGAACGACGAGGCGTCTCGAACATCTCCGCGACGCCGGCGGCACTCGTACCAGTGCACGCGGGGAACGGCAGGGCCCCGAATCTCGGCAACATGATGGACCCACGAACCCGGAAAGGGATATAGACATGTGGAGCATGGACACGTTTTCACGATACCCAACTGGGCAACACCTCACGAAACATCCCACGAGACACTTCACGAAACATCCCACGAGACACCTCACGAAACATTCCACGAGACACCTCACGAAACATTCCACGAGACACCCCGCGAAACATTCCACGAGACACCCCACGAAACATTCCACGACGACAGGCAACCACTCAACCAAGGCGGTGTGGTCGTGCTGGGGAGTGGTCGTGCTGGGGTGTGGTCGTGCGTGCTGGGGTGGTCGTGCTGGGGGGTGGTCGTGCTGGGGGGTCGTGCTGGGGCGTGGTGGGGGGTGGTCGTGCTGGGGCGTGGTCGTGCTGGGGCGTGGTCGTGCTGGGGCGTGGTCGTGCTGGGGTGTGGTCGTGCTGTGGTGAGGTCGTGCTGGGGTGTGGTCGTGCTGGGGTGTGGTCTTGCTGGGGTGGGGTCGTGCTTGGGGTGGGGTCGTGCTGGGGTGTGGTCGTGCTGGGGTGTGGTCGTGCTGGGGTGTGGTCGTGCTGGGTGGGGTCGTGCTGGGGTGGGGTCGTGCTGGGGTGTGGTCGTGCTGGGGTGTGGTCGTGCTGGGGTGTGGTCGTGCTGGGGCGTGGTCGTGCTGGGGTGGGGTCGTGCTGGGGTGGGGTCGTGCTGGGGTGTGGTCGTGCTGGGGTGGTCCGCACCCTGTGATTTATCGATCGGGTCGTGCTGGGGTGTGGTCGTGCTGGTGCTGGGGTGGGGTCGTGCTGGGGTGTGGTCGTGCTGGGGTGGTCCGGTGATTTATCGATCGGGTCGTGCTGGGGTGTGGTCGTGCTGGTGCTGGGGTGTGGTCGTGCTGGGGTGTGGTCGTGCTGGGGTGTGGTCGTGCTGGGGTGTGGTCGTGCTGGGGTGTGGTCGTGCTGGGGCGTGGTCGTGCTGGGCGTGGTCGTGCTGGGGTGTGGTCATGCTGGGGGTGTGGTCGTGCTGAGGTGTCCCGCACCCTGTGATTTATCGATCGGGATTTCAAAAACAAGCGTTTCGCCTGAGACATCCTCAAATTTTAATCCGCCGGCCTCCTTCGACCTCGATATTTATCAGGGAAAGAATCCGCCGGCCTCCTTCAAGTTGGGCACCGGGGACATGTTTACATACTAAAAGAGAACCCTGGGCCGGCGCCCTTTCCGGGAAAAACTGAGGCCCCCCCCCGAAGCGGCATCCCAAATGTGATTGACCGTGGTTGACATCTCGCCAACACGGACGCGGATCTCACGCCATGTGGCGGATTCTGAAACCCTGAACTCGGCTATCGACTGATGCTTCCGCCGAGCTTCCTTCTTGTTAATAGCACTGCGCCCAAACTCGCTCGAACAGACGCTTCGTGTGGGGTCGAATTAAAGCCGACCGACATCGGCGCATGACATGCATGGCCACATCATGAAGTGGACTCTGAAAAGGGGGCACGCACAGGGACAGGGGCAGCCATGACTCCACACCCGCGCGCCCCCTCCCCTACGGAGGCGGCACAGCGAGCGCGGCCCTCGGCCCCACTTCTGGGGCATAGGGCCGCATTCCCCAACTCGAAAAGCTCAAGGATGTAAGACCCGGGAACGCGGGGAAAGGACAGGAGGCGGCACGCGACGGAAGCAGCGGCAGGCGGAGCCTCAGAGCCCCCTCATGGGCGAAGTACCAGTGGGTCGCGACATCGAGGGAGAGGTGGAAACTGAGGCACAACAGCACGAAGAGGGGAATTTGTATGGAGTACTGATCGCCATTCACGTTGCGAGCGTCACGCTGCGCTCTAGCATGGAATTCCTGGCGTTTGAACATATCCAACGAAGTAAGTGTGATGATGCACGCCTGGGCGGTCCAGTGGCGGCGCTGTGTCTTGATAGCCCGTGGTTCAGCGTTTCCTCGGCAACTTCTGCTTGCCGACTGCCGCGCCGCCCTCGGGCTTGTCTTTGAGAGCGAGCTGCTATATATGCTGGGCGGCTTTCGACCCCGGGCCGCGATCGTGACTGAGCGTGCCACTCGCCGACTCCACGCCTCCGTTCAGATGCAGCACGGCCAGCGCACCCTTCGAATCGGCGTGGTGGCTGCAGGCCCAGACCCGGAGCACCTCGCCATCGCCCTCGCTGTTGGGCTTGAACTCGAAGCAGCGGGCGGCCTTCACGACGACATCGGCATTCTTAACGTAGCTCCCCCACATCTCCAGCACCCCCACTGCTTCGGCAGCTTCTGTGGAGTAGGGGCCCTGCCCGATGGTTTTCATCAGCTGCTCGCGGCCGTTGGCGGCTGCTGCGGCGACCCGAACGATGACCACCGTCAAGAGCGCATCTGGTTTCTTGCCCATGGGGTGGCCCTTGAAATCGTCGCTCTCGCAGGCGTTTTTGCCCGTCTTGACGTGCCCCTGAAATCACACCTCCAGGGCCACCTCGATCTTGCGGCCTTCTTTCAGGGCCAGCGCCACGGCGCCGTCGCGCGCCGCGGACTGGCGGGCGGCCTCGCGTTGGAGCAGCAGGCGGCACATCAGGCACTGGAGCTTGCCATTGGGCGCGGTTACCTCCTTGTCGTCGTTGGCGCTGGTCTCTGGGACGTTCTCGGCACCTCGTTTGACTCCGTTCGAGATATCGGCGATCGGGGGGGACATGGCATGTGTGCTGAGGCGGCGGAGCCGGGGGGTCAGGGGGATCCGGCACTGCGCCCGCAAGGCCTTCAGCCATCGGCAGCGGACGGGCACGGCATCTATTAGGTCGTCAGTGGCGAACTAGCGCGTCCTTTCGGCTGAACGCGCTGAAGCCACGCAGGCACTTCAAGGACCTCAGCGGTTCACCCGCGAGGTCCGCGGGCTTCGCGCATGTCTGGTAGGCAGCGAACGCGGTTGGCAAGACATCTGGGCCTCTGACACATGCGAGAGCACTGGGGACGCTTGATCATCAGGTCTGGGGCGGGCGCACCACCTGCGGCCAGCTTCGCTTCGCCCCCTGCCGCGCACCTTCGCGCAAGTTGAAGATGAGCACGGGGGGCTCGGCACGACCGGCGGAGCCGCGGGAGAGTCGGGGCGGGGCCAGGGTCGTAGGTCACGAACATCGCGGGCTTCTCACTGGGCCGGGGGGGCCAGCGTTTTCTGCCAAAGCTGTTTCGAGTCTTCGAGGAGGGGCCCCAGAAGGAGCTGATTCCTATATATCGGGGGCCCTCGCAGTTGAGGCGGCCAAACACAACGGCCGGTACCATGCGGGAGGGGTCGCACCGTGGGTTCAGGGGCTGGTCATCTGGGACCATGGGCATCTCCGGGTCCTGCACGGGCCCCTCGGGGCCCAGCGCGGGCCCCGCGGGGCCGCGGGACTTTCGCTTCTCGAGGCCAGAGAAGGCGGGTCGAATGACTCCCATCCACCAGGCAAGGCGCCGATCCAACAAAAGGAGGCCACTGTCGCAATGCTCGTAAGCTCCCTGACATCTGCACAGCTGATTTGACGGGCGCGAACGGGAGAGCGCGCAAGGGAAGGAAGCTCGCGAGTCTGCTGGCGTTCTAGCCGATGGAGGCGTCGCTTACACACCAGGGCAACCTCGAGGCCGCAGAGGAGGGTCGAGCGGACGAGAGAGCACCGCAAACGAACTCGCAGCCGAGCACTGGAATTGCCTCCGAAGGCTCGGCGGACGAGACAGGCGCGCGCTACGCCTCCCCCTTGTATTCCATGAGTCGCTTCCTCCACAATCGTGCGATCATCCCCCTGCTTAGCTCCGAAGTATTTAACGCGGGGAGTGGCGTGCGCAGGGGTAGCGTGCATTTCGACGTCGGTCTGCTCGGCTCTTATCGCGGCCCTGCGCTGCTGGCTCTACCCGCCACGACGATCAGCATCTCCGCTTTTGCGTCGTATGCCTTCATGCCCCCCCATCGAACTTCTGTTCTTCAGGAAGGCGGGGAACTTGGAGGCTGCGTCGAAGTTTTCGGCCATCGTCAAGGCGATCAGGTCACCGACGACTTTGATAGGCGGCGCGACGACCCCGACACACACAGTGCCCGAAAGATCATGCTGGCGCCGAATCCTCGTCAACTCAGGATCGAACGCGACGCATGCCTCGGGGAACTCTGAGATTGCGCGGTTGCATTCAATCTCGGGCGCGAGGAGGTCGTCGCACACTGCCACGAGTGAACATATGCTGGCCCTCCACACTTCCCCGCCTGGCGCCCTTCGGGGTGAGCAGTTTCTTGATGCGCCGATTCGTCCGGATGTCGCGAGAGATGTAGCGCGCGCCCTCGTGCCGCTCTTCCACTGTGAGCCGCGCATGTTTTTGACCGCCAACCTTCTGGGGCCCCGCATATCGCTTCTCGCCCCATCAGGTCGCAGGCCTTCTCGAAGTCAATGAGCGCGGCCAGGGGCGCGCCTGGGATCGCGCCAGCGCCGATTTTGGAAGCGCGGCCGCGGAGGCGGCGGCGCCTGATGACCCCGGCGACCACTGCGAGAGCGTCGCGCGTGGAGCGGCCAACCAAGGCCCGAAACTGCGAGTAGCATAGCTTTGACGCAAGGCCTCTGAGTTCAGGCATCACCTCCACGTTGATGATAACCTTCCCAATGTGGTTGATCAGGTTAATCGCTCTGCAATGGTCCTCGGCGCGCTTGCCGTCGCCTTTCGGCTTCCCGAGAGACGCTGCCTCTCCATCCTTGAACCCCTGGGCAGAGTGGCCAAATACTTGGCAGGCTTGAAATACTTAGCGAAGAGCTGGGGCTGCCTCATCAACAGATAGATCCCATAATTCAGTGACCGATCCGCCGCATGGCGCGCCGGCAGGGCCCCGGCAAGACGCGGGCGCGCTGAAGCTGGCGAACCAAGATTAGGGAACAAAGTGGGCGACGCTGAACCTGACGAGTCAAAATTTACGCAGAACGCGGGCGACTTCGAACCCGGCGCATCAGGACTCGCGTTCTCGAAGTCGGGCATGGTCGTATCGAGGGCGGGGGCGCCCTCGAAGCTCGGCATTCTGCAGATGTCCTTCGAGACGTCGCACACGCTGCAGGCGCCGATGCGCGCGCCGCCCCTTGGGGGGGGGGCCTGGTGCTCCGCCCGCGCTGCCCACGTCGAAGATGGCGCCGTCGAAGATGGCGCCCAGGGCTTTGGCGCGGACCGCGGCCACCTCTTCCTCAGCGCCCATGCGCGCCCCACAGGTGCCTGGGTTAATGGCTGCAACCGCTGGGGCCACTGGCCAGGCAGCCAAGCGTCGGACCACGACATGAAATTCACGGAGGTTCGCGTTGACTCCTGCCGCCCCTGCCTCTCGCGCAGTTTCCGCCAGCCGTTGGCGACGTTCGACTCGCACAGCCTTGGTGGCAGCCCTGGCTGCGTCGTCGTGCGTGTCCTGGAGATGGCCGTCGGTGCGCGCTGCCCGGTCCGCGCGGTGAGGCGCGCGCCTCTGGCCGTCGTGCTCGCGCCCGGTCAGCTCGAGGGCCTCGTCCGTCAGCATGGGCCCGGTGTTTCTTCTTCGGCTGTAGGACGTACTGGGGGGCCGCTGCATCATCGCGTGTTCCAGCATGCTGAAGTAGTCCGATGGCGCGGCGCGCTGCAAGCCTTCACCGCAGATGGTACTCCATGGGTATGCGCGTCAAAACTGCTGCAACAGGTCTTGGAGACGGGCACGCACATCCGCAACGCGGGTCGGTGTGTCCAAGGTGTCATCACGTAGTAGACAAAGGTCCTTAACGAGAGCGTCTCGGTCCAATCGGGCTGGTTTCGGGTTGGGGGTGCGTTCGGGGCGCGCACCTGCGTAGATGTGCACCTCTACTGGCAAGTAGTCGTGGCACCCACCAAGGCTGACTGGGAGGTCACCGATGGGGGCTGCCTCGGTGCCGATGGAGCCGCTGAGTTTCACGCGCAAACAGTCGATAATGGCCCATCCTTTCCCAACTCGCGTTTTCATGCGCCGTTTTGACCGCCGCTTTTACCGAACGCATTGAGGGCGGTCACGTGGAAGATCTGGAGTACGTCCAGCAGTTGGGTGCCATTCATATTCGTGGCAGCGCACTGCCGGAGTTGTCCAGCACAGCCTACATGTGGGAGGCGAGATGTGATGGCCGCGTTAGCATCCAGAGTCATCACCGGGGCATCTCGCTGGGGCAATTGGTTCAAGACCGCCCGACAGGTTTCCCAGAAATTGTTCTGGAATGTTCGGCGCGCCTCCATCTTCAGGTAATGGTCGTCGCCGATCCTGGCGTGGTTAGCTTCGTTGTGGGGCAGATCCGTTCACACTATATATATATATATATATATATATATTCCACTGGGGGCCCTTGCGTGCAAGGCGTAATCCATGAAGCCGTCCATCCATCCAGGAATGAGACACACGTAACTGCGATAGTGCAAACACCCTGGGGTCAATGGCGATGCTGCATACGACTCTTTTTGCCTTGGTCGTACGTGGGGTTGGCATAACGCGGCAGCCGTGTGGTCTATGATATGCCGAGCTCTATGCGAACACTCTGGAAACTAAGAACTGCGATGTCCTATCTCGATCTCGTGCGGGCCCGAGGATCTCAGCCAGTCGGTCAGCGCAGAGGAGGCTCTCGCAATTGCATGTCCAAAACTTAAGAAGTGGAGACTGGCGGGTAGCACTTCGACGTTGTCGACGATAGTATGTGGCGGCGCTGGTGGCCGCCTGGTGTACAATAGCTCTTCTTCGATCTGCTGTCCGAATTACCTGGGTAAGCCCAGTTGGAAGAAAAGTACCGTTCCTGGAGCATTGAATTCGCGAAGGACGGGGAGAAGAGCAGCAGCCGTGGCTCGAGTATACCTCTCTGCCGTGGTACCACACCTGCCCTGTCACCTTCAATGCACGAACAGCCCGCCTAAGTGCCCGTTTGCCTCCCTTTTGCCAATTCTCCCCATCGGTCCCTGCGGGCATGATTTCCACCTACGATTGGACCAGGACTGATGAGCTGCTGTCCAGCGCTGACCTCGCCGACCGTCTCGATGTCGTCGAACCTCCCCTTCACGATCGCCTGGCACCGCCCATCGCGACAGGGTGGGAATACGGTCGTGTCGGGCTGGGACTTGCGACCCAGTACGCTGTGAGCACGCCCATGTTCTCTCGAGCCGTCGAAGCTTCCGCCGAGCTTCCGCCAGCTTCCGCTGGCAGAGCCGGCGCGGTTTTACTTCCGCCGTTTTCCGCCGACCGTCCGCAACCTTCCACGTAGGACGAGATGACAACTCCTTCCATGCTCGAGGGCAAGGCACTTTTTTGGAAAGCCCCATGTTCACCTACCCCCATATCCTCCGCGGGTCTTGTTAACCAGGCAACCGCCTGTGAAGACTCGAACTCCGAGAATACGGCCGCTGGAAATTTGGGCCTGTCTCCTCGACCTGCCGACGTCCCCCGACCTCCTCTCGTCACCAAAAAGACACGATTGATATTCTCTACATCCTGAATGGGGTTCTCGTCTTCCCTGGACCCCACGCGCAAACCTCACACCACACCTCCTCTGCTCATCATCACCATCACACCGTCATCGCCTTCAACATCGACATCTTCATCAGCATCATAATCATGATCACCAACACCACCACAACCATCATTATCATCATCAACATCATCATCATCATCACCATCATCAACATCACCATCACCATCACCACCATCATCATCATCATCATCATCATCATCATCATCACCAACACCACCACAACCATCATTATCATCATCAACATCATCATCGTCATCATCATCATCATCATACTCATCAATCTCATAATCATCATCATCAACATCATCAGTATCATCATAGACATCAGCATCAGCATCATCATCATACTCATCAGCATCATCATACTCATCAGCATCATCATCATCATCATCATCGTCATCATGGTCATCATCCTCGTCATCATCATCATCATCATCATCACCATCACCATCAGCATCGTCATCATCAACAACACCAGCATCAGCATCGTGATCATCATCGTCATCCTCATATCACAGTCGTCCTCATCATCATCATCATCAGCATCATCATCATCAGCATCATTATCATATCATCATCGTTATCATCATCGTCATTAGCATCATGAGCAGCAACAGCATCATCATCATCATCATCATCATCATCATCATCGGTATCATCATCCTCGTCGGTGTGACCACAAATCGTAATCATGAGCAGCAGTATCATCGTCAACAGCATCAAGAGCAGCATAATCATCATCATCGCCATCATCATCATCAATATCAACAGTATTATAATCATCATCGGCACAATCATAAACAACAACATCGTAATCATCATAATCCTGACCATCATCATGATCAACATCGCCATCATCATCATCAGCAGAGCAGCATCAGCAGCATCATCATCATCATCATCATCATCATCATCATCATTATCATCATCATCATCATCATCATCATCATCATCATCATCATCGTCACAGCCAGCATCACCATCAACATCAGCAGCATCAACGATATCAGCAGCATCGTCATAATCACTCGCAGTCTCCTCCATCAATCACCGTCAGGCCATCATCATATATTTACTCATCATCACCATTACCATCACCATCACCATCACCATCATAATCGTCACCCCTCACATATTATTCACACTCGCACCATTACCACCGCAACCACAACCACCACGATCATCGTTATTACAGGAATCATCATCAGCATAATCATGCAACCATCAACATCAGCATCATCATGTCATCATCATCATCCTCATCATCATGATAATCGTCATCATCATCATCATCATCATCATCATCATCAACATCACCACCATCAGCATCTCACACGTACTTGCGCACGAACTCACACATTCATCTTGAGGACGTCTGGAGCGGGGGGCCCGTCTGTGAGTGGTAAGAAAATCTTGGGAGGAAATCCCCTAATAATAATAGTAGTAATCCGAGCGGGTCATCCATATCCTGTAACTGTCGTAACTGTTGGGCTCCTGAAGCCGAATCTGGAGGAATCCTCGAGCGGGAGCCTCGTCTGTGAGTGAATTGTAAGGGAGTCGCCGCTGGGAGCCCAGTCCCCATGGGGCCGCCAGATCGTGTTATACTAGGGCTCCCAACTTCGCGCTTCGCGCTGCGCGAAGCGCGAATAACTTCGCCCTCTCGCGCCGCCTCCCAGGGGAGAAGAGGAGGACGAGGAGGAATCGGAGCCGAACCGCGAAGCGCGAATAACTTCGCGCCCTCGAGGGCGCCCTTGGTTATAGCAATCCGAAAGGATCATCTCGGAGCAGGGCGCGTTGAGACAACAGCAGTTCAAGATCGGCCCCCAGACCCCTCCAAGGGGGCCAAACGCAGCAATGATGGGCGTGTTTTCCACCACCACCACCATAAGTTGGAGGGGGGAGGAGGAGGAGGACGAGGAGAAGGAGGACGAAGAAGAGGAGGAGGAGGACCCCCTCCCCCTCCAACTTATGGTGGTGGTGGTGGAAAACAAGCCAATCAAGCAATTGTCCGAGATTCGGCCAGCAGTGGCAGGGGTCCCAGAAGGCCAACTACTGGTGTCTCAACTTGCCCACCGCTGATCTTCCTGCCCCCTCCAAGACGAAGCCAGGACGAGCATAAAATCGGGTGAGGATAAATCGACAATATCTGAGATTTGGCGGCTCTGGAGGATGTCTCGGTCGCCGCGGCCTTCTCAGAGCGTTCTGGAACCCTCAGAGAGCGTTGCGAAAAACCCTGGAACGGATTCATCCTCGTCCTCGCCGCGCCCGATGCTCCTCCCCCTCCTCATCCCCCCAAGGCCACCGAGCGCCTCCGGAAGCTCCCGAGAGCCGCCGCAAGCCGCCCACACCGGAGGCCTCCGGACACCCTCCCTGACACCGCCGAGGGCCTCTATAGAGAGCCTCCGAGGGCGGCCGGGAGCCGCAGAGGGCCGCCCGAGGCCGCTGCCTACGGCGCCGGCAACGACGCCGACGGCGACACCGATTTGGACGCCCAAGTTATCCGGGGTAACTCGGGTCCGGGGAAACTCGGGCTTGGATTCCCGAAAAAGGAACCCGAGTTACCCCTGACCCGAGTTACCCCTGATGATTCGGGGCTCTGGACGCCCGAAACATCCGGGGTAACTCGGGTCCGGGATAACTCGGGTTCGGACTCCCGAAAAAGGAACCCGAGTTAGCCCTGACCCGAGTTGCCCCTGATGATTCGGGGCTCTGAGTTATAGCAATCCGAAAGGATCAGCTCGGAGCAGGGCGCGTTGAGACAACAGCAGCTCAAGATCGGCCCCCAGACCCTTCCCAGGGGGCCAAACCAAGGGCTCCCAACTTCGCGCTTCGCGCTGCGCGAAGCGCGAAGTGCGAATAACTTCGCGCTCTCGCGCCGCCTCCCAGGGGAGAAGAGGAGGATGAGGGATCGGAGCCGAACCGCGAAGCGCGAAGCGCGAATAACTTCGCGCCCTCGAGGGCGCCCTTGCAAACGCAGCAATTGTCCGAGATGCGGCCACGGCGGCGACGGCGGCGGCGACGACGGCGGCGGCGGCGGCGCACCGCCAGCAGGAGCGCGCGCAGCAGCGCGTCGGCGAGGCAGAGGCACTCCGCCGCGGGCAGGCGGTCGGCCTGGGCGCGTCGGCGCGTCGGCGCGCCGCGCCGACGCGCGGCATCGGCGAGGGCGTCGCCGACGCCGTCCGCGTAGGCTGCGGCGGCGGCGGCGTCGGCCACGTCTGCGTCGCCATCGGCGGGCGGCGGTTGTCGGAGTCGGCGCCGACGGCGGCGCCGTCGTCGGCGGCGGCGGTCCGTTGGGGGCTTCTTCTTGGGGGTCTATATTGGGGGCCTACTGGCGGTCTCGGGGGTCCTCTGTCGGGCTTCTTGGGCCGTCTTGAGTGTTTGGGGGCCGTCTCCGGGCCCTCTTTGGCAGTCTTGGGGCGTTTGAAGGGGCATCGGGGTCCGTTTTGGATCGATCCCGGCACTCTCCTGGACCGTCTTGGGCTGCAGGGAGCCCAGAAATACGAGAGCGCTAAAATCTGTCAACGGCCTACTTTTCCGGACCCAACAAGGCCCAAAGATGTGTCAGGAGGGCCCCAAGAGGCGCCCAAGACGGTCCAAGAGGGCCCCGAGACGCCAAAAAATCGCACCAAGACGCACAAGATGGTCCCAAGACGGGCCAAGGGGCCTCCGAGACGCCCCAAGTGCCCCAAGAGGGCCCCGAGAGGCCAAACTCATTCCCATTGGCTTTTCAATGATTTGGGGGTCTTCGACTGTGCGAGCTCCCGACGCTCCAAGACGGTCCAAGAGGCTCCCAGGACCACTCCAAGACGGCCCAAGGCCCCCAGGAGCGCCCCAACACGGCCCAAGAGGGCTCCAAGACGGCACCAAAAGCGCCCAAGACCAAGAGGGCTCCAAAGGCAGCCCCCAAAAAGAACCTAAGAGGGGGAACGCAAACCGAAAGTCCGCCGCCCGAAGAGGCCCCAAGGAGGCCCCAAGGAGGCCCCAGGAGGCCCCAAGAGACCCCAACGTGGCGCCGATGACACCCCAAGAGGCCCCAAAACGGCCCCACAGAGGCCTCACAAGTGCCTCCAAGAGGCCCCCGAAAGGCCTCGACGAGATCCCAACAACCATCGAAGAGGCATCAGATCCGCAACCCAGGCATAGGGGCGGGATGGGCTGAAGGCCGTAGTAGACACACAGATACGTGTGTACATGTAGATAGCGCATGCGCGACTTGGGACCCTCTAAGGGGCCATCTTGGGCCGTCCTTGGGGCATACTGGGGCATCATGGGCTGCCATCGTGGGCCGTCTTGGAGCGCTCTTGGGGCGTCTCAAAGCCCTTGGGCCTCCCTTGGGACGCTCCTGGGGCTGTCGTGGGGGTCAGGAAGCCTGCGTCCAAGAGTTCTGGCATCTCTACTCTGACCTTGCCAGGGACGGCCCGGGCGTCCTTGGCCTTGACCTCGGCATCTCTGGCATCTCTACCCTGACCTTGGCTGCTCTCGCGTCCTCGCAGGGCTCCAGATGGCCGCCCGTGGACACCTGCACGAGCTCCGGGCCGCCGGGCCCGACGAGCCCCCTCCTGCAAGCCCCGAGGGGCAGGTCACGGGGGGCCCGTTCCAGACACGCCGTTCATGGCCGCCCAGCACCGGCCCAAGACAGCACAGCGCGGCCCTGGGCTCCCCCACCAGGTCGTCCTTCCCCCTCCTCCGCGTGGCCACTGATCCGAGGCAGGGACGTATACCCACTGACCGCCTGTCTGTGTGCGCCCCTGGTCGGTATCGTTTAACCGATCCCCATCCCCATCTCCATCCCCTTCGAGACCCCCACCAAATTACCACCCCAGTTGGGGATACACCCCTCGAAACCCGAGGAGAACGGTCCTGGGATCACCCCAACGGCCCAGAGACCTCGCCGGGCGGCTCCACGGAGTGCTCCCCGAGACAACCCCCGACGACGGACCCCTGCGAGGCCCAGGAGAGGGTCCAGAGGAACCTGCCACACAGGGTGTCGGGCGCTGTGATCTGGAAGTAACTACCGCGCGTTGTCTCTTTCATGCGACTTCGTGCGGGAAGTGGCACATCTCATCCCGTGGGCATGAAGCGGGCAGCCATGCATGTGTATCGGTGAAGGAGGCCCAGCAGGCAGGGCAACGGGTACAAGATCTAAGCAAGGAGGCAGAGGGAGAGAATCTGGCCACGCGGCAGGGCGCTGCACGGCGAGCCGCCGTCTGAGCAGGGGAGGGGCAGGAGGAGGAGGGAAGGGGGGGGAGTAGGACGAAGAGGAGGGAGGGGGAAAACGCGGCCAAGGGTCGCTAGTGGGCTCCAAGACGGCCCAGAGAGGCCCCCACGACGGATTGCGACGGCGCCAGACTGGCAAAGAGCGCCCGAATTAAAAGAGCCCCAGGAGCGCCCAAGAGCCCCAAGGAGACCCCCGAAGACACCCCGTATAAGCCTCCAAGGTCCCCGAGAAGCCTCCACAAGGCCGAACGAGAGGAGGAGGGATGACAAGGAAGGGAAGATGCCGACGACGAACACGACGAGAGGCACTCCGACACGACACGGAAGAGCGCGTCAGATTTACGAGATGCCACACGGCACGGTGTCCTACGCATTCCTCGGATAGTCGCCATCCACAGAGCTGGGCTCGTACGGTGGCGGGACTTGCCGCAGATGTATGCATTTCCTCTCTCTTCCCGAATCCTATATCTGCTCCACCATCTTGGCTTCCACATCAGGCACCCGCATTCCGACATCCACACACACACACGAACTGATGCTGATTATCGCTTACTGCACACCGTCCGCCTCATCCTCTCGGTCTCCGCGCCTTGTCCGGCATGAAGCACGCGCACGCCTCCGCCACGAGGGGCTCGGGTGGGGGAGCCAGCGCGTGCTGGCTGAAGACCGCGACGATGAAGTCCTGGCAGCCCGCGGGGCCCAACATCGGCGGTTCAGGGATGGGGCCCTGAGAAACGGTGCCCTACAGACAGGCGACCTCGGACATCCAAGGTTTGGCTTGGGATCCCTCTCTGATCCTCACGGTCCCATCCCTGAAGGCCCCGTCTGTCTTCGAACAGCCAACATCAGGTGCCCCCCCCTCCGACTCAAGATGCACAACCGACAAGCTACAGCCCTCAAGAGGCCCCCAAAATGAGACAAGAGGGCTCCGAGATGCCACAAGATCGCTCCAAGACGCCCAAGATGGCCCCCAGGCACTCCCAAGAGGGCCCCAAGAGGCAAGATTCTATGCTGTTCCTTAGGTTTTGGATTGATTTTCGCTTTTCCAACTTTTCGACTTCCCGACGCCCCGAGACGGCCCAAGAGGCCCCTAAGATCGCCCCAAGATGGCCCAAGAACGCTCCAGGACGGCCCAAGAGGCCTCCAAGACGGCCCAAGAGGGCCCCAGGGGCCCCCCAAGAGGGGCCCCAGAGGGGGAACACGAAACAACATTTCGAGCCCTCGGCCACAAGAGGCCCCCAGGAAGCCCCAAGAGGCCCCTTTGAAGCCCCAAGAGGCCCCCCAGAGGCCCTCAGGAGGCCCCTGGGAGGCCCCCCAAGCGGCCCCCCAAATAATCCCCCCGCGAGCACGCAAGCAAGTGCCAGCGATGCTAAAAACTCCCTTCGTGGGTTCCGATCAGCGCTGCGAGAGACAAGAGCTCTACGAGGCTCCCGGCGGTAATCTGGTTGACGGTTTACCGCCGGCTCCCAGTTGGTCGACCCGACCAGAAAAGAAGATGTGGTGAATTTGGGATGGTTTGCAAAGATTTGAAAGATATTTGACAATACCTCGTGGAGCTCTTCGGCATCGATGAGCTAGAGGAATTCCACAAGATGGGCCGGCGGAATGAGCGAAGCGATTGCACATCCAGCTCGGCAGCCAGCGGCTCGCAGCGGCGCCTCCTTCCGTGGGGTCAGCAACGTCTGGGGGGGGCAGCCCGCGCCTCGGTGCGCGGGCGCTGGGCCCGGCGCCGCTTTCGGTCCTGGGCAACTCGGCCTCGAGCCCGCCAGATCTGTTGGTGCACCCAGTAAAACGACGCGAAGATCGGGACAAAATCGGATCGGGATAACTCGAAATCTCTGAGAATCGGCGGGCTTGGAGGATGTATTGGGCGCCGCGGCCGCTCCAGAGCGTTCCGGAACGCTCTGAGAGCGCTCTGGAACGCTCTGGAGCGATTCATCCCGATCCTAGCCCTGTTTTACCCAGGGATCCAACGTCGTGACTTCTGCCGCAACGTCGGCCCCAGAGGCCTCGGTGCAGACCCTCCCCGGGACCGGTCTTCCATCCTGCCGACCTGGGCCCCGAGTGGGCCCTCGTGGGGAGAGCACTGGCATGCGTGCACGTATCGTGCGTGTCGTGCTGTGTCTGCAGCAGTTTGGCTTGCCTCGAGTGAGGAAAAGAGGGAGCGGGCGCCCCCTCTCCAGGAGGCCAATCTGCAGTGGTGGTGCGGAGCGTGCTGCGCGATAGCAGGCACTGTCGCACCGGGAGGTACTGAGGGCAGTACGGACGGACTCTACGAGGTGAAGCATGTCCACGGACGACAAGGCACCAGACGGTGCGATCAGACGGTTCTCAGGCACAGGCGTCGACGCTTTCAAGGAGTATCGCTCGTGGAAGAAGTGGTCGAGAGCCTATGTCATCGTGCAGAAGGTCAAGGGAGTGCCGAACGCGGCGCTGGGGCCTATGCTGTTCATGCTGTTAGACGACGTAGCTGCTGAGGCGCTGGAGGTGATCGAGATGGACGACCTCGAGCAGGACGGCGGCGAGAACATAGTGTACGAGACTCTGGACTTTCGGTTTCTAGATCTGGCGGCTCACGACAGGCTGGGCGAGGCACTCCAGGAAGTGTTCACGCTGAGGCAGGTTAAGAACGAATCGATGGCGGCGTACTGCGGGAGGGCTCAGGCGGCGTTCGCCAAGGGTGAGTCCGAGGGCGTGATCCTGCCAGACATGGCTCGAGGCTTCCTACTGCTGCAGGGCGCCCACATGCCGCCGCAGGCCCTGGCCGTCGTACTGGCGGCCTCGACGAGGTCATACGCGGAGCGAGATGTAGCGACGGCGCTGAGGACGACGTACCCAAATAGAACGACCGAGTTCAGCCAGCAGAGTAAGTCCTACGGCGCACACATTGTCGAGGATCCCGACGAGAACCCAGACTTCGACGCGCTCATCGACGGGTATGAGAATGCCGAGGACGACGATGACACCACCCTGGACGAGAGCGAGGCCATAGAGAAGGATGAGATCCACTTCACGAGGCCGAACGTGTCGGTGCCGCTGAAGGTGGCAGCCATCGGCCACTATCAGCTCAACCTGTGTGAGACGACGAACGAGAGTCACAGGCAGATTCAGACGGCAGAGGCGGACGTGATGACAGCAGAGGTGGTGACCGACATGGAGAGGTTCGCCGCTGAAGCGACGGCGGGTTTCGATAGGGCCGGGCCGGAGCCCAGAGGCCAAATGGGATGGCATGACTTCCGCAGGGGGTGACGTCGAGGATGTCAATGATGGCATGGCATCCGCAGCGGGTAAGGTTGATGATGTCGGAGTTGGCATGACATCCGCAGGGGGTAACGTCGACAGTGAGATGGAATATGGAGCATGCGACGACTCCGACGTCCTCTGGACAGCGGGCGTTGCTGATGTCATGAGCAGACGAACCAAGCGTGACATCCTGAAGGGAGTGCTGGCGGCCCAGTTGGCCGTGGGAGACCGTCCGAAGCCTGGAGCTGTTCACAGTACCGAGAGTGGCCCCAGTTCTGGAGACCATGGGCTTCGAGAACCTCGGCTCGTTCGACCTCGAGAACTGCTGGGATGCTAGACGAAATCAGACCGACATCACATACTACACCTGATCCGCACCGAGGAGCCGGACTGCGTCGGCATGAGTCCTCCGTGCGGCGCCCTGTCGGCACTGCAGAACTTGACGATGGACGATGCTCGCAGAGACCTGGCTAAGTACAGTCAGACGGTGAAAGAAGCAGTTGGATATATCAGGTTCTGCGGGGTCGTGGCCCGGATGCAGATGCAGGGAGCCGGTACTTCGCGATCGAGGCTCCGACGTCTGCCAAGTCCTGGAGCTGCGCATCCATGGTGGCGCTGTGTGCTGCCGCTGGCGTGCACCGTGCATCGGTCAGCGGCTGCCAGGTCGGCCTCAAGGATTCGGTGACCCAGAAGCCGATGTCGAAGGAATGGTGCTTCGCAACCAACTCGGACATGATCAAGTGGTACCTGAAGGAGCTTCGCTGTCTGGGTGGTCATGAGCATCAGTGGTGCTTGGACAGCTCGAGGAGGGATCAAGAGGAGTACGTTCTCTCAAGTATCCAGATGGTTTGTCGGCGCCTGGCGACTGCGTTGGTCTGTCAGCTGGAACTGTATGTTATCGACTCCGGCCCTGAGGCGCTGTCGACATGGGAGGATGAGGAGGTCATCAAAGGTCGGGAGCTCACGCTGGAGACGTCACTGAGGAGGCTCCACACGAATCTTGGTCACCCGAGCAGCGAGGACATGGTGCGGATTCTGAAGCACGCCAAGGCGAGCGAGATGGTGCAGGCGATGGGTCGGCAGTTCTCATGCTCGGTGTGCGAGGGCCGCGGCTTCCCAAAGCCGTGCGGCCTGTGAAGGTGCCGTCCAAGGTGGCGACACTGAGGCTTGCCGAGATCTATGTCAAGGAGCTGCCCGGTTGGTCGGAAGGCGTAAAGGTGAAGGCCCCGAACGTCACATGTGTCCGAGCAGCGGCCTCCAGCAGATGGCTCACTTCTTCGAGGCCGAGACAGGCAAGGTGCTGAAGAAGCTGTTTGAGTCAAAGTGGTGCGAGCCATACGGTGCCCCAAAGTACCTCCAGTGCGACGCCGGGCGGATCTATCTGGGCCAGGACATCCTCGACACCTTCGAGAAGATGGGGATCGAAGTGACGGACGCCGCAGGTGAAGCTCACGAGCAGGTTGCACACGTGGAACGCCATGGAAACTGGTTCGAGGATATTCTCAACAAGGTGATGGATCAGATGCTGCACAAGTCCAAGGAAAAGTGGCTGGCCTGTATGCGAGCCGTGACCCTCTGGCCAAGAACTCTCTGCTGCGCGTCCATGGGTTCTCGCCGTACCAGATAGCGCTGGGCAGGAGCCCAGAGGTCCTCACGGACATGATGCAGGAGGAGCCGGACATCGTGCGCGCAGAGCGGTACTGCATGACGAGCCGCTCGCAGCCATGGAAGGATGCAGGCCGTGCGCACGTCTGGCAGTCCTCGAGCACATGGACCATCGCGCGGCCAGAGCAGCGCTGGACGGTCGACCCATGGTGGTCTCGACATTCCAGGCGGGGAACCGAGCTGCGGTATGGCGACGTGGCCACGGTATCCCGGGAAAGAGGGCTCATGCATGACGGCGTGGGTCTGCAGCAGTCCTCGGGGAGGTCAAGGACAACTACTGGGTCAATATGCCGGGGGTAGAAATCAAGGCGTCGCCGGAGCAGCTGCGCCATGCCACCCAGGAGGTAAAGCTCGCGGCGGAGGTGGTCCAGCCGGAGCTGCGCGCCATGGCCGAGGAGTTCAGGGACGGAAGCGGCCGCAGAGAGGCTTCATTGAAGGGGCCCTGGGACACACAAATAAATACACACAAATAAAAGGATTCCCCATATTTTCCCATATTTTCTCGGTTTTCGTCTTCCCCCCCACTGCCCATATTTTTCCACATTTTCCTGGGAATCGACGATTAATTGTGTCTGTGTGTTTTTTCCCCTCCTGATTCATGGACATCACGGGGGATGAGCGACCTCCTGGCGCGGCAGCCGGTGGTCCCGAAGCACATCCTGAGCCCGAGGTGCCGAGCTCCACGACCCCAGTGGTCCCCGAGTCTGCGCCGTCGGAGGCGGAGGCGACGGAGGCACCCCAGGTGGCGACGAACGATTTCGGCGGGACCGAGCA